TTGTTAAGCAAATACAAGTTAAGTTTAAACTTTTATTAAAATTTTAGTGGTTTAAACTTTGGGTATTTATGGGTAGTATGGGTACCCGTTATCCGTCCCGTACGGGTAATGGGTACCCGTTTCCCATATGAGTTTGGGATATGGGATGGACTTTGGTCTCCAAATGGGACTGGGTACCCGTTTAAAACGGGACGGGTATCCCGTCCCGTCCCGTTTCCCACCCCTAACCTTACCCAAACCCATTTACAAACCCCCAAACTCATATGCACTTCACCCATCCCAACCCATTATTAATGAATCTACTTGGATTTGGGTATAATTACCCATGAGTAATTGCCATCGGAGAGACAAGTTTTGGTGGAGAGTGGAGACGGCAACAGATAGGGTCAGTAACCAAGTGGTTACTGACATGTCAGTAATGAATAGGGACCATAGATCTAAGAGGCAGACAATCGTGTGGTTGGGTCGGACGCTGAGTGGGGAAGGGTATTTTTGTCCGTTTATACATTAAATTCTTTATTTTATTTTATTTCGTATTTAATGACTGCACTTTCAAAGAAGGAAAGAGAAATCACTTCTCTGCAACTTTCTATCTTCCTTCTCTCTTCCTTATTCTCTCCCAATTCTTTTCCAGATCCTCTCTCTTTTTCTCTTCCTTTTTCTCTCTCAATCTCATTTCTAGATCTAAATCTGCTCCCTTCTCTTCTTCTTTATTTTTTTTTCACGACGAATAAAAATTGGAGCCATTCTTTTTCATTGCATTTCTTCTCTTCATCATGTCGTTGGCCTCAATTTCGATCTTTCTCATTTTTTCGGCATTTGGTGTTCTTGATTGCGGAAGAGGAAATGAGAGGCGACACAAGACAATTTTTTTTCTCTACCTCCTTCTGTTTTTTTTCTTTTAGATAATATATATTGATATTATAACTCTATACTATATGGTATTCGGTGGTAACGAAATATATATTGATATTACCACACTATACCATATGGTAATGTATGGTATTGTGTGGTAACGAATTATATATTGATATTACCACACTATACCATATGATATTATGTGGTAACGAAATATATATTGATATTACCACACTATACCAAATGGTATTGGGTGGTAACGTAATATATATTGATGTGGCAAATTTTTTCATACCATATGGTATGGTCAATACCAGTCAATACCATATGGTATAGACTGATAATAACTGACAAAATTTTTTATGTCCAAAAAATATCAAAGTGGATATCATTTTGAAGAGCACAATTAATCTGATCTAACTGTGCAAAAAAAATTAAATTCGGACTTAAAACGAGTGAGAAATCGTCTGTTAAAGATTAAGAGAAGGAAAATTAAAAGTTTTTCGAGGAGAGAGAAGGCGCTGATGTGATCCGGTCAAAAGTCAGCGTTAGCAATAAATAGAGGCAGGAGCAATTTTACCTTATTGTCCTTTTACATTTAATTTAAATAAAAAAAGGACTGTCACGTGGCGACAAGAGAAGAGGTTATTGATGGGTTACTGACCCATCAGTTACTGACCTGATCTGGTCACGAGTGGAGACACAATTGATTAGGCAGAGTGATCATTTTGTTGCAAGTGGAAGAATAATGGTTATTAATTTTGTGTGTGCAAAGTGTAAAGACCATTTTATTAAATCCGCCAAATTTTAGGGAAAAAATCCCAAGTTACACATGTTTTTAAAAAAAATTCTCAAAATACACACGTTATGAAAATAATTCTCAATCTACGTTAGTTTAGGCCATCACCGCTGTCGACGAAGACAATGATTGCATCACCGCTGTCGACGAAGACAGTGATTGCATCACTGCAGTACACGGCCGCGGTGAAGGCCTGACCTGCGTCGAAACTTTAAACAAATGTAACTTTGTGCTCGGTTATCCGATCGTAGAGAAATTTTTTTTGATTCCGCATAATTTTCGAGATCTTGCAAGCCGCAAATTTCCGTAGGCGGTTTGGTCCCGCCTTCGTCTCGAAAATATGTCGTTTGCTACTTCGAACGAGCCTTTTTTCGATTTCGTCAAACTTTGAACGACCATAACTTTGTGCTCCACAATCCGAAAATCATGAATTTTTTTTTATTTCGCATAAATTTTTAAGGACTACAATATTTAGTAGGAGAGAATTTTCAAAAAATGAATTATTTATGGATATAAGGGATTTTGGGAATAACTTTACCTTCCTTTTTAGGAATCCAAGTACATTCCGAAAATATGTCTATGATAAAAATTGTAGTCCTTAAAAAGTTATGCGAAATAAAAAAAAATCATGATTTTCGGATTGTGGAGCACAAAGTTATGGTCGTTCAAAGTTTGACGAAATCGAAAAAAGGCTCGTTCGAAGTAGCAAACGACATATTTTCGAGACGAAGGCGGGACCAAACCGCCTACGGAAATTTGCGGCTTGCAAGATCTCGAAAATTATGCGGAATCAAAAAAAATTTCTCTACGATCGGATAACCGAGCACAAAGTTACATTTGTTTAAAGTTTCGACGCAGGTCAGGCCTTCACCGCGGCCGTGTACTGCAGTGATGCAATCACTGTCTTCGTCGACAGCGGTGATGCAATCATTGTCTTCGTCGACAGCGGTGATGGCCTAAACTAACGTAGATTGAGAATTATTTTCATAACGTTTGTATTTTGAGAATTTTTTTTAAAAACATGTGTAACTTGGGATTTTTTCCAAATTTTAGTGACCCTTTAGGCTCTTAAAGATTGCTGTTGCAGCTTGCCGTGTTGAGTCCATGACCACAACAAAATGAATTGAAACAATCTCTCCCCTTTCTTTTGATATTTCTGAAACAATTGCCCGAAAGGGAAGGATGACGCTGTACATGCCTTTGTTCAGAGCAAGTACGAACTTGAGACTGCTTACTCAACTTCACTCCCACCTCTTCATCACCGGCATGCACCATGATCCGCAAGCTTCCACCAAGCTCATCGAGTCATATTCTCAACTGGGTTCCCTTCATTCCTCGAGCCTCGTGTTCAGGACCTTCCAAAGCCCCGATTCCTTCATGTGGGGCGTGCTCATCAAGTGCCATGTCTGGTCGCAACGTTTCGGGGACGCCATTTCTCTTTATCATGAGATGCTCTGCTCCGGAACCTCCAATGGCCCATTCATACTCCCTTCAGTTTTGACAGCCTGTGCTGGTTTTGGCGACCTGGGTACCGGTGACAAGGTTCATGGAAGTATAATCAAGTTTGGGTTTGATACTGATCCCGTTGTAGAGACCTCGCTCCTGGCTTTTTATGGCCAGTTAGGTTGCCTGAGGGATGCAAGGAAGGTGTTCGACAATATGCCTCTGAAAGACTTGGTTTCTTGGAGTTGCATTATTTCAAGCCATGTTGATACTGGGCACCCCGCTGAAGGCTTAGAGATGTTTAAACTACTTTCATCTCGTGGCATTGAAGTTGATGCAGTGATGATGCTCACCGTTGCCCAGGCATGCGGGCAGCTTGGTAGTCTGAAACTAGCTAGATCTGTTCATGGTCACGTAGTAAGGAGAGTACAGTTTTATGGGTCATTAGGCGATTGTCTTGTTCTAATGTACAGCAAGTGTGGAGATATGTTCAGTGCAGAGAGTATCTTCAGAAGTAAAGCTAGTAACAGCATAATATCAAGGACCGCATTGATTCATTGCTACAATCATTGGGGTGGGTTTGAACAAGCTGTTGAAATCTTCCTTGAGACAATGAGGGACAAAATGGAGCCTAATGTAGTTACCATAATGGGAGTTTTGAATTCCTGTGGTGGATTACATTTACTTAGAGAAGGGAAATCAGTTCACTGTTATGCAATCAAGAACAGTTTGAACTTTGAGGAGGAAAACAGTTTAGGACCAGCATTAGTAGGGTTTTACTCCGAATGCTATCAATTAACTTACAGTAGGCGAGTCCTTCATGGGTTTGGATGGAGGAACTTAATTTCATGGAATGTGCTTATATCAGCTTATGTTCAACAAGGATTCTCAAATGAAGCATTTGAGCTGATGATGCAGATGCAGAGGCAGGGAGGATTAATGCCAGACTCTTTCAGCTTGTCGAGCTCTCTATCAGCTTGTGCCGACTCCGGGAATTTGCAGCTCGGATGTCAGATGCATGGTTACTGCATCAAAAGACAATTGTCTGATGAGTTTATCCAAAATGCACTCGTCGACATGTACTCAAAATGCGGTTCTATGGATTCAGCATTTCTCATATTCGACGCTGTCCAAGAAAAGAGCGTTATTACTTGGAATTCTATGATCACTGGATTCTCCCAGAATGGCAACTCGGTTGAGGCGATACGCCTCTTTGATCATATGTATAGGAACTGTCTTGAGATGAATGAGGTCACCTTCTTAACTGCAATCCAGGCTTGCTCCAACATGGGACACCTTGACAAAGGGAAATGGCTTCACCAGAAACTCATCAGCTATGGGGTAGAGAAGGACCTTTACCTTGAGACTGCTCTAGCTGACATGTATGCAAAATGTGGAGACCTTCGAACAGCAAAAAGAGTATTTAACAAAATGCCGGAGAAAAGTGTGGTAACATGGAGCATCATGATTGCTGGATATGGAATCCATGGCCATATGGATGCCGCAATGTCGCTCTTCGATCGAATGGTAGAGATGGGAATAAGGCCAAATGGTATCACCTTCATGAACATTCTATCTGCTTGCAGTCATTCTGGACATGTGGATGCGGGGAAGTTTTATTTCAGATTGATGGAAAATTACAGCATAGAGCCCAATTTAGAGCATTTCGCTTGTCTGGTTGACCTCCTGAGTCGAGCTGGTGATGTCGATGGAGCTTATGGAGTTATCAACTCCATGCCGTTCCCTGCAGATGCAAGTATCTGGGGCGCTTTAGTTAACGGCTGCAGGATTCATCATAGGATGGACATAATTCAGTTCATTCAAAGGGACCTTCTGGATGTGACTACAGATGACACGGGTTATTACACTTTGCTATCTAATATTTATGCAGAGGAAGGGAAATGGGTGGAGTTTGGGACGGTGAGGTCGAAGATGGAAAGAACGGGTCTGAAGAAGGTACCCGGTTACAGCACGATTGAACTTGGCAACAAAATATACAGATTCGGAGCAGGAGACACGTATCATTGGCGATTTAACGAGCTCTGCAGCTTCTTAGAGAACTTCCCGAGCTTGGCACGGCCTCAGCAAGGATGCAGTGTGTTTGCAAATCCTTCAAATGAATCTTGTATATTTCCTGAATACCATGAATGATAGTAAACTAAATTGCTAGAAATTGGATATGGAACAATGCGAGGTCGCTTAAGAACATGACATGGGTAATTGAATGGACATTGCAACATTGTTGAAAAAAGAAATGCTAACTATACTCTTCGACACTATATACAATGATGTATAATCCATCCATAGCGAATAGAGAGAGAGCACTCTGTTATTGGGATATCCCTCTTTCATTTCCTGCTCCTGGGCATGGAGGAAGGTGCTAAAGGCCAGGCGCTTTGCAGAGGGACACCTCACTGTTGTGTATATTGGGATGACGGGCTTATGAGCAAATTTTCTGTAAAGAAGGTTTGAGAAACAATCAGACCGAGGTATGAGAAAGTTCAGTGGCACAAACTTATATGGAAGTCCTATTGCATTCCTAGGGATAAGATGATTGCTTGGCTAATAGTTCTCAACAGGATTACAATCCTAGATAAAGTCCAAAATATGGAATCCCTCAGTGGCAAACACTTGTTCTCTCTGTTCCTCTGCTGTAGAGTCTAGGAGCCATTTGCTCTTCGAATGTACTTTCTCCAAGAACATTATTCAAGCTGTGTTTCAGTCACAACTTCTAATAGGATGTAGTTGGGAGGCTTCTTTGGAGTTCACTATTGCACAATTCCGGGTCAGCAATCCAGCATCTGATCGTGGGAGGCTCCTTTGGATTACAGTGTGATGGAGGATAGCATCCGATGGGCATTCGATGGGCCTCGTGGTTGAGTGGGCTTTGTTATTAGGGATTTATTGTTAGTTAATTGTTGGATTATTTGGGATATTTGTATCTGTTATTGTGTCTTGTTGGGGAAGTTATAATTTACTTGTTGGGTTAGGATTAGTTACCTTGTTCGAGAGGGAAAGGGTTATGAGAGTAGTATATAAACATGTACAATGTTCTTTGATTTTATGAAGTCGATCAATAAAATATTAGTAGTTATTAGAGAAAAGTAGCTCTTTTATCGTGTTTTCTAGTTCTTTCGCTAAATCGCTCGAGTCACCGGTGTGTGAAATCCCATCACGCATCAATTGGTATCAGAGCCTGGTTTCGAGGAACCGAGCTCGACGATGCTCGCGTATAGGGCATGCTTTCCGCAAATCAATGGGAGATCTTCTATCAATCCGGAAGCAACTGGACGAACGCAGAAGGTTGTCGAGGGATGAAGCTTTGCAGCTAGTCGATGGAGAACCATCGATCGAGATTGACAAGCCGCCGGATATACCTCCTAGTCCGGCCGATGTAGAGATCTCCTAGTGCGCTCTCACCGGCGTTTCCCAGCCCACGATCATTCGCTTCGACACCACCATCCATCAAGAACCAGCAGCCGCCCTCGTTGATAGTGCGTCCTCGCACAATTTTGTGAGCCACGAAGCTTCCAGGAAGATGTTTGTACGAGCTAATGCGATCCCGCCATTCGAAGTTAAGGTAACTGATGGAAATTCCTTGTTGTGCGAACGATGCTACGAGGCGGTACAAATTGAGATACAGGGGGTACAGCTTCGAGTCAATTTGTATGAGCTACCACGATGTGGGATTGACGTCGTTCTCGGTGGTCAATGGCTTAAGCAAGCAAGTCCTATATCTTTTGATTGGAGGAAAGCGACCATGCGTTTCAAAGATAAGGGCTCGTGGGTCACGTTGCAAGGAGCTATTAATCCCGACAACGAGGGTACAGATGCCGACGGGAGTTTGCGCGATAATGACGCCAAGCTGCGAAAGACTGGATGCCGCAATCGAGGGGGTCAGCCGAGTCTTCAAGCGCGAGATTCATGGGATTCAAAGCTAAAGAGAGTTTCTGCTGCCATTGATGTTGTCCTCCCTGCCACCACGTCACCAACATCGAGGGTCATCACACCACCGCAGCCTATTGGAACCCTAACCATGGAGGGTATTGCCTTGGGGATGTCCACTATGTTAACGTCCCAAGACCCGACCTCGCCGGCGCCATGCGTAGCCATCCGCCTTAAAGGGGGGAGGCAATTCTATTGGAGGAAGAAAAGGAAGAAACGACGGGATCTTGTTGTCATTGCTGAGGCGCCTTCTGCCGCAGCTGAAGAAGGAGTGATCTCTCCAATAACCGCGCCATCGACGACGAGGTTGCGAGCTGTTGAGGCCGCCGTTCCTGTGGTTCAAGAGAGAGGAGGTATTGCCGCTCCTGTTTCACCCAGTCGCATTGTGAAGCCGCGCATTGAGGAGAAGCCGCCTTTGCCTCTGAAAGCTGAATTGTGGATTGGACTAGAGAAGAAGCAGCTCCGTGGTGATGTCAAGCACGCGGAGTCCACATCCTCTTTTACCAACCACGGAATTGAGGGAAAGTTACGTGGATCACCACTCGAAGCCGATAAGTCGTCTACCTCGCTCACTTGTCGTTGGGTCAATTGGAAGTATAGGAAGAAGCTGGTGGACGATGGTAAGGGAGACTGGAGTGATGCGGGAAGAGGGAATTCGGTTTACAGTGTAGTCGGACCATCCATGGGACTATTGATCGGTTGTTTGCTGTATGGGGTTGATCCAGAGAATTCCACAGGCCACGTTGACAGCGTGAGGTTGGTTAGTTGTGTTATAGATGCAACCGGGGCTCAAACTAATGGGTTCGGGTGGAATGATCGAGCTACAACGATGGGATCGGTTGGGAGTGATGTAGAGGTTATGATGCGAGAGCAATGGAAATGGGGCAGGAACCCTGCCGAGTTGATGGCTTGTCATGTGATCGAAGAAGCCTTGTGTGAGGTTGCAACGACAAACCCAATTGCATTCGGAAGCTACTCTGTCGCAGTCCAAAGGCCGCTTGATTCCTCCACAATTGGCCTGCATGGAAGCTTGAGGTGGAAGAACAAGGATTGGTGGATAAATAATTTCATGCACGAGGAGGTGCGAATGGGAAAGGGTGAAAGGTATTGGAAGGAGGCGAGTTGGAAAGTGGACATTTCTCCACCACATTGGACGGCTGCTACTGTAGGCAAAGGGGAGCTCGAGTGGGGCGCAAAGGAGGATTTGATGGCATTCGGTGATAGGAGCATGGTTCGAGTGGCCGAACCTAATTGGAAATTTCGTAAGCGAGTTTGGCATCGACAAGAAAATGTTCTCTCCATTATCACCAACACTTGGGAACGGTTTTTCTACATTGATCCGATGGGCATTCGATGGGGCTCGTGACCGAGTGGGCTTAGTTATTAGAGATTTATTGTTAGTTAATTGTTGGATTATTTGGGATATTCGTATTAGTTATTGTGTCTTGTTGGGGAAATTATTATTTACTTGTTGGGTTAGGATTAGTTACCTTGTTCGAGAGGGAAAGGGTTATGAGAGTAGTATATAAACATGTACAATGTTCTTTGATTTTATGAAGTCGATCAATAAAATATTAGTAGTTAGTAGAGAAAAGTAGCTCTTTTATCGTGTTTTCTAGTTCTTTCACTAAATCGCTCGAGATCACCGGTGCGTGAAATCTCGTCACGCATCACAGTGGTAAGTGAGTTATGGAGGGAGAGGTGTAGAAGGATATGTGCTGGTTAATATCTTGTCGAAACTCAGTTCTTGAGGAAGTTGCAGACTCTGCTGTCATTACTGATAAATGGATACCCTCATATTGGTGTAGTCATTTCGAGGAAGAGATAAATAGTATAGTTTAAAGAAGTTCTTGTTTTTTTATTAGATGTACAGCTTGTTTCTTTCATAGATAGTGTCTGAAAGAGGTCTGTACTTGTTATGAATGTTGGTGATGATTGGTTACCAGTTAGAATGGTTTCTTATAACCATTATTTCTTATGAATAAACAAGCTTATTCATCGAAAACAAGAGAGAGCAGTGTATATCTCTCTCAACATATTAAAGATTTATAATCCATCCATAGTGAATAGAGAAAGAGGGCTATCCTAAAAAAAAGAGAAAGATGGCTTAGTTTATATATCTCTCAACATAGTTAAGCTCAACCTATATTGTAGTATAGAAAATAGATTTATGTCCTATGATTAATAGGTTATGAATATGATTATAGGGTAATTAGGATATTTGGTCACAAAAAATTTAATTTGTAACGATACGGTAACAAAAATTTGAACATGTATGAAATGGTCACTCTGCTTAATTTGTGATTGTTTTGTTGTAAATACAAACTTTTATTATCAAATAGTTACAAATTAAAGATTTGTGATTGTTTTGTACTAAGTACAAAGATTTGTGAGCCTTTATGCTAATTACCCTATGATTATATGCTTAAGTCCGTCAGTTAATATTATGATTAACAAGGTATGAAGAAGATGAAAGATTAAAGTTTCATCTTTGAAGACTTTTCTTCTTTCCATTTAGGGGTGGGCAACGGGACAGTCCCGTTTGAAATGAGTACACATTCCCGTTTAAAATGGGTACACAGTCATATTTGAAGAGTAAAGTTCATCCCACGTCCCATATTTGTATGGGTAAACGAGTACCCGTGACCCATACAAGACGAATAAATGATACACAAACTACCCATAAATACCCAAAAATTGAATCACTAAAATTTTAACAAAAGTTTAAACCTAACATTTATACCTGCGGAACAATCACAAAATTCATCTCAATCACAAATTTTCTGTAAAGAAAATAGAGCATCCCTCTCTAGTCTCTACTCTCTACCCATGGACACGATTGTTGTAGAAGAAGAAGTGTACCGTGGGCCTAAAGGCTGGACCTCTACTCTCAATCCAATGGGCTCGTTTCTTTACTTGTCTTTTAATGTCTGTACTGTGCAGTCATTAGCATTGGGATTCCCTACAACTTCTAGGCTCTAACCCACAGTTTAAGAATGTTACGTGTATAACGGGTACCCATATTATTCAAACGGAAATTTGTGGGTAACTTACGGATACCAATATAAAAATTTGCACTTCTAAATCTCATCCGTTAATAATATTACGAGTATTATGGATACTTATAACTCTCAAAAAATGAAATTGGTATGGGTATACCCAAATACCTGTTTTCCGTCGCTCACTCCTATTTTTATCCATAAAGAAGAAGATAACATAGATGAAAAATAAAGAGAAAGGCTTCATTGTTAAGTGTTATTGATGAATGGACCGAGGGTGGTGAAGCCCAATGGGCCAGTCAATAACCACTCATCAATTAACTAGAGTTCGGCTCACTCGTTGGCCGGATGAATTACATCAATAGTTTAGTAATTATCTTAATCAATTATTTGGAATCATGAAAGAATTCAA